TTAGCACCCAGTTTCAAATGTCAATTCTAAGTGTAGGGGCAGAGTGGGAAGATTTTAGCATGAGATCACTCTACAGTATTGATCCCAAAGTCCATTCTGAACCTTGATTGCTATATTTTCTTGCTTTATTACGTACAAACTACATACCTGTATTATGTATGTTTGCATATATTTGTAAGGCTTGAATGAGATGTGTATGTATCTATTATATGTTACATATTTCTATTCTTAAAAGCTTGCATGTTGAAAGCTCTCTACTCAGAATTGGTTTTTCACTTGTGGAATGATAGGAGCGCCACCCCCCTGACATTTAATCAAGTCACTGGAGTTACCTTCTCAGACCTCAGCGTAGGGGTTGACTAATTTGTATTTGCACTGTGAATAAAGGATGCTACAGTAGTATAGGGGGGCTGGGGAGTGAGCCAGGGCCAGAGCTGGCCGTGCACAAGCACACGGCATTTGGCGCCAGCTCCTTTATATTCATAGCTTCCTGTGTGCCCGAGTGCCTGTCCTCGCTTCCTAAAGGAACCAGCCCCAGGTGCCCTTCTGCTTGACAAAGAATTGGTGCAAATCCTGGAAGTTTCAACAAGTGTTACTGACTCAAGATCAAAAAAAAGCTAAACAAGTCTACTGCTATGCGCCCCCAGCCCAGCCACCTTGGAGTTTATTACTCGGCACTTCCAAGTAGGACCTGTGAAGGGTGCCCTCCTGCTTTGGGTCCCCCCCCCCTTATTCCCACTATCACTCACGATGCTCAGCCGACCCAGCGCCAGGGGCCCTTTGTTTTCCTCCCACGTGGTTCTAGCCCTCCACCAAAAAGGTTTTAGGAGTTACAGAAACTGCTATGGCTTTTGATGCTTTATGCCCTGCTATGACTGTTTATTTATCATTTCCATGGAAACCTTGAAGGAAGGTAGTGAGATGCCTGCACTTACACTGCCAACTTACCTTAATCAATAAAATCTCTTTTTATTAAACATCTACTATGGCATATCTGGCAGGATTTTAAAAATAAGAATAGAACTGCCATTTTAATTGCCTTTACTATGGAATTATTTTGACAACCTATGTACCAACCAAAAATGGTTATATTTCTGCAGAAGCAGTTATTCCACTTGAAGATTACATGAAGGCATCATAACAACAGTGACCATGTAAATATTGATGGAGACTGACAGAAGTATTCTCAGGGGTCCCGATACTGATTGAAAACCTCTATCCTGTCTTCACACTGTTTTACTAGAAGTAATAGAATAGAGTACAGTTTCTCACAGTGAGCAATAAACAACTGAAAGATAAGATGCTGAGGCAGACCTTAAGCCGCAGTTTCCTGCAATGACTGCATTCTAACTCAAAATCAGCACCCTGAAATGTTCAATATTAAGAAAAGCTCCCATCAACCGTATTTCCAAATGCACTCAAGCTGAACGAATCTTTAGACAAATAACTTAGCATAGAAAGGAAGTAAATTTATATTAATTGCTTTCCATAGTAATCATGTGGGAACAGCAGTAGCACTGACAGTGGAATAACAGCAAGAGTAACGTTCAAAAATGGGACCTGTTCTGTTCCTAGGGGTCTCTCTTAGGTATTTTACATGTATTTCATTCATCTTCCAATCTTGCCATTTAGATACTATGATCTCCGCTTTTTATATGAGAAAATAGGCTCACAGGCTAAGTAAGTTTTCAGTGAAGCTGAGTGAGCAACAGTGGTGCTTGGTGGGGCACATCTAGGGGGCACAGAAGAGCCAGGCGACATGGCTGGCACAGTTTCCTTGGCTAATTCTCCAGAGCTATCCGACGAAGGGAGGATGGCCACGTCTGCAATGGTGCAGAAAGCATCTGCGTTCCCTGTGAGAGGCGTTCTTAGGTTGGGGTTCATAAATAATACGAAAATTGATGTGAAATGTATGAAAATGCACGTTTTCATCAGATTTTAGTGGAGCCCATGATCCGGAAAGGGTCTGTCTTCCTAGATAGGCCGTAAAGCCTGGTTTTAAGCTGTAAGACCCAAGAAATCCTATACTTCAGATTTGTGAGGAAAAGCTATAATGTAACATCCTAGAGGACACTTGTATTACACAAAAGTGGATTCAGGAGGCTGAGGCAGGAGGATTGTTGCAAGCTCAAGACCAGCATGGGCTACAAAGCGAACTCAAGTCCAGCCTGAGCTGCATAGCGAGACCCTGTCTCAAAAGAAAAAAAGTGGAGGCAATTACCCAAGTGAATATTTCAAATTGTAACTTGAAATAACCATAGAGCCATAGCAAAGGAAATGGAGAGGGGCTTGTGGCTAAATTATCTCAGTGTCATACTTTTCTACTTCCCATTATACATGTAGAAAACCCCACTGCTTAAAGAAAAAGAAAAATGAGCCGAGCTTTACTGAATGATTAAACCTAAAAAGATATCTCTGATAAAGTTTTTTTTCTTTTTTTTTTTAAATACTGGTGAAATATGCCAACAGTAGCAATTGCATTTTAAACAAAAAGACAACAGAGAAACTATTTGTGAGTTTTAAACAGCAGGGGATGAAATGGGTAAAAAGTGCAGATGTAATTTTTCTCTTTCCTTTCAAAGAAGTTCTGCTGAATTTCAAATATTTCCTTTGAATAATCATGTTTGACAGATATAAAGGTTAATGTTAGCAAGGTAATTAAAATTAATGACGGCAATCCCCACTGGTTTATGTCTACGCAGGTGTTTCCCTCCACCGGCCCCATCACAACATAAGAATATTTGATACATGAAATTCTGAGCTTACATGTATTACTTTCATTCCCTCTAAGACCCACAGGATTGCTTTACATAATGAATTCTCATGGGTTTTTGACACATACATTGATTTTTAAAAATGTATTAGGTCATTCAAAATTTTACAAATTTACATATTGCAAAAAGTGAACAGATACTATTAGAGACATGGTTTCGAATCTTCTGGAACATATCTGTGAATTCAAAATTGCCCACAAGGTCTTTGAATGTTTTCCTACATCAAGTCAAGCTATTTATTACTCAGAACCATATTCAAAATGCATTATTTTGACAATTAGTAGATTTATCTACCTCCATCCATCCATCCATCCACACATCTACCCACCCATTTATCTTTATTTTAAATTTTTAAAAACATTTATTAGTCTATGCTGGCAGTATATAATGGTTACAGGTATCATGGGAAACTGGTATATGTACATAACACATCTTAATTCTTTTTACATGCCCTTTGCCTCTGCTCCTTCCTTTTCTTCCACTTCTTGGTTCTCTTCTCATTTGCAAAAGATCTATCTCCATTTCCTAATTTTGCTCTTTAAGTTATTAATACTTTGCGTTGCTCACGTAATACCAGGTGATATTTAAGCTTGCGTGTCTGACGTACTTACTTCACATTACATATGAGCTCACTAGACAGTCAATGGTGACATTAACGAAAGAAACAATGACAAAATATAGTATATATTCTACTAACATGTCATATACAATGGATACTTGTAGTGATGATATTCAGACATGACAACTAAGCTAACATATTTGACATGTACTAACTGTGTTCCCCCAAGATGATCACAAAAATGACTGTTGACAACATACTCTTCTATCCTGCGACCTTGCTACTTCCCCATCCTGGGGTGGGGCCTGAGCCCCTGTCTTAGTTATTTTTTTGGTTGCTGTTGGTGAGATAAAGTTAAAGGAGCAAAGGTTTATCTTGCTCACATTTCTGTACGATTTGTGTTGTTCAAAAAAATCTTCCTTTTAGTTACTTGAGCTTGGAAGATAACTTTACTTTCAGATAAACCTCAAATATTTTTTGCACAATTTTAATATACATTAACTTTTCCAGGGTTGTAACTACTAGGTAAACTGACAGAAAACCGTATTTTCTTTTGTTCAGAATTTACCAACAGTTGTTCACCATTATGGACAATCATAATATTGATGGCAATGTGCTTATGCTATTTACATCCAAATAACACTCGACATCAGTCTACAATCATATTTGTGGAGACTGTATGTGTAGGTGCAAGCACCTGAGAAATTATATCTTTTAGAATTGCTGTACTCAATAATTTACCTGTTCAAAAAATATTGTTTTATTATAAAGCACACTGCCCTAATTTTTCCCCAATGTACAGTTAGGACATGTTATTGATTTCTATAAATAACGGATACAGTTGGGAAAATTACCTATAATTTTTATTGCAGGATACTAAAGGGTATGTCAGTGGTTATAAAAAGGGAGTTGAAATACATGAAGAGCGCGAAGTCCCTGGGAGACAGGAGGAAGGAAAGATGCAAGTGTGGAATCATGTATGTTTTCCCAAAGGATTTCTGCCTGTTGGGACTCCGAAGTTGTAGAGCGTTGTTCCAGTGCTAACTCAAGGGGTATGTAGTGACAGATCCTATAGTTCTTTAAAAATATGTATTCTCTTGGCCCTAGATGAGGAGCAAATAACTGACCCAGCAGCTCTGCAGACGAGGGACCTGGTTCAGCTCTTCCTCAGCACTTTCATTAATAACCACGTCGACTGTCCCAGGATCTTTCCCTCGTCTTGCCTGACTGTGATCCTGCACCCAACCCGCCTCCCAAGTGGTTCTACTTAATGTGCTGTTTCAGCCATCTGTCTTTCACCTTTATTGTGTCTTGGGGTCTTCTTCTCAACTGGGCTATACTTTCATTCTTATTTTATTTGTTGGGTATAATTTGAAAATCCCTCAATGTTAATTCTACCCTTTCAGTTTTTCACCATTGCTAAAGATATATTTTTTATATTCATTCCATCTCAGTCAGGTGTTTTCAGTCAAAAGACACTTGAACAAGAAGAATAAATCAAATATTCTCCTCCTACAGTTGGTGCATGGAGATTTTTATTGATTAATTATCAGTTTTACTTTAGGCAAACCAACATACTTAATGAAATTAAATGGAAAGACTTGGAATTTTCTTTTGTTTTGTGAAGTGAATTATGAAAAAAAGGGGGAAAATTCAAGAGAACTTACAATCCGTATCAAGTATGGCACGAACAGACTTTACGAGCTCCTTAGATTCCAGGGCCAGTGTTGCTGAGATGTTTCGGCTGTTCCTTCCCAGCGGTGTAAGGGATGTCTGAGAAGCTAGCATGGCTCTTCTTTCACTGTGTGGGCAATGAAACAAACTTAAAAGTATTACATAACAAACATTGTCTGCCTTTGCTACATCTGAGTTTGTATGTATTATAAATTTGTAAGAAAATTTTCTATTTCTAGGAAAAGCACATTTTTTTTTTTTTTTTAAATTTTGAGACAAGGTCTCACTGTGCAATTCAGATTATCCTTGAACTTTCCATGTAGCCTGGGCGGGCCTGGAAGTTGTGTCACTCCTCCTGCCTCAGCCTCCAGTACTGGGATTATAGGCATGCACCATGCCCGGCTAGGAAAAGTATATTCTTATAGCCACAGATGAAATAATTTACATAAAACAGTACTTCTGCCTTCAAGTCTTTATTATATAGTAGATAGGAATATTTTAAAAATCAGGTTGACTTTCATATACAGGGAGAAAGTAACCAAAGAGTGGCCTCTCTCCTTTGTTGGGCTTATTTTTTTGTTTGTTTGTTTTTTGTCTTTTTGAGACACAGTCCCGATATGCAGCTCAGGCTGGCCTTGAGCTCACTTTGTAGCCCAGGCTGGTCTCAAACTCACAACGATCCTCCTGCCTCAGCCTCCCCAGTGCTGGGATTATACGCATGTGCCACCATGCCTGACTGTTGGGCTTATTTTGTAAATGTGTGAGTTTTGCTAACATGGGATTGCCTTTTTTTGTTTTCTTTTGTAAAAATTCAATTTAAGTATATAAACACAAATTTGCTAAAGAGACATTTACTATTATTAATAAATTCAATATTTACATTCATTCCTGAAATTACCTCTTGAACTCTTCCATTTATTACCCCAACTCTAAATGGCTTACAGCACTTATATCACTTAAAAAAACAGTCAGATATCATCTGAAATGAATACATTCGGATATAATTAAAAACACAAGGCTTTGCCTAAAAAGCCATTATATTAAAATTTATACCTGAAAAGAAAAGGTGAGTTTACACTGATTATAAAATCATTGATTATAATCCACTGGCTTAAGCACAATGGTTAACTTACAAGGAGAAACCGAAGAGTAAATTCTCAAATTAAAAGACACAGACTTGCCTGCAGTATCTGTACAGAAGACACAGTACATTAAGAAGCCTGAACCACATTATGTTAGTGTTTTAACTTTTCAAGACGGGGTGAAAAGTTGCTTAACAAAGCTTTTTAAAATTGCTTTTTTCCCAGTGGGTAGTTTATAACAAGAGCAGGCCCAGGCTTTTAAATGCTTTCCTTAACAGTGACTTCTACTGATTTAGTACCATATTTCTTATAATTAGGCAGAGTAAAACAAAACCTTGGAGAGTGGTGATGTGGGGACACACTTAACTCATGCAAGGGAAATGTGACTACTTTGAGATCCCTACTGAACACAGTAATTATGGACTTCATATAATTATGTCATAAGCAGAATGAATAACAACAGATTCCATCATTATAAGAAATAAAACATTACATTAAAATGAGCTTAAATGCAAACAACTGTAGATATGATTCTATTTTTTTTAAAGCTAATGAACACTTAAGATATCTTCACTTATTTTCTTTATTAAAATGTGTGTTCATAGTAAAGGGTAATTTTCCTATATTTCTGCAAGTAATACCACTAGTACAAGACGTTTAGAACCAGTTGCAGTTATTACAAGTTGAGGGGGACAGCTACTTCGAAAATGTACGATCAGGAATGTCTCACTTGTATGTCTTTCATCATGTGTCAGAAAAACCATAAGTTTGTGCTTTGGAATAAATATTATTTGTGTTCGTATAGTTCTGAGGAAGAAACGTGGCATCTGAAACATTATGACTAATAAGGAAATCAAGGTGCATTTGCCAAATATATTCCTTTTATTTATAGCTACTAAATTATGAAAATGAAAGAAGCTGATTGCATCAATACGTTTTACAAACTTCTGTTTGACATAAGAACTCATTTCCTGGATTAAGGCTGACCCGTAGCAGCACACCTGTGATCACTAACAATTACTCACACACTGGATGCTTAAACAACTTCAACTTCATCTCATTTTTACAGAATTTTTGATAAGACAGGATAGGTAATTTCTACCTCAATTTCAGAATACAAGTTTACAATGATTGGTTCAATATTTTCAGGAATTTCTTTAACAGTGATCAGACCAAAACCAGTATGTCCTTGTACTTATTTTCAAGATATTAAAGAATGCCATCTAATGGTAATTATGTAGCATCTTAAAACCATTTAAGAGACTTCTAGTATTTTGCTCACAATTTTTAGAGGGATAATTTAATTAGTGACATATTCTGCAGAAAGTAGTTAAATATTCTTACCTTAAATTTGATAAAGCAGCAGAATTATCAGAAAGTACTTCTTGAATAGTCTAGCAACCAACAAAATGGAGGAGACATGTAAGTTGGACACTTTTTAAAAAGTCTTTTCTTGCATAATTAATATTTTCAAAGTCCCTCTTTGTTGAGCAAACAAACACTTCTGTTACGTGGGGGAATAAATTATTCTAACATGTATCTTCACTCAGAAATATAATAGCTATAAAAATTTCTCTATAAGTATTTATCAAATCATGTTTATATAGTATAAGTACTTTTAGAAAAGTACTCATTTTTTTTTTTTTTTTTTTTCTCCGGTACCGGGAACTGAACTCACGACTTTGCGCTTGCCAGGCAGGCGCTTTTGCCGCTGAGCTAAATCCCCAGCCCCTAGAAAAGTACTCATTAAGACATAGTGTATATTTGGGAACATGTTACTGTGTCTCAATTATTTCTCTCTCTTTTTTTTTTTTCTGGTACCAGGAATCGAACTCATGACCTTGCGCTTGCCAGGCAGGCGCTGTGCCACTGAGCTAAATTCCCAGCCCCCTCAATTATTTCTCTTAACAATCTATATAATGTTAGCCAATCTTTTCATTACTGAGGCAAGTCTAAATCTGACTATAAGTCAGCATTGCTGTTTTGAGACCAGAAAATGTATCTATGCCACCAATCACAACCTTAGTTATCTACATCAGTTGCTTGTACATTTCTTAAAAATGGCCATAATACATTACACAGTCATACCTTATTATCTGTGGGGGATTGGTTTCAAGTACCCAAGAATAAGAAAACCACAGATCCTCAAGACCCTTCTAAAAATGGCATAGTACATCTGCAAATAACCTATGTATATTCCCCTGTGAACTTGAAATCATTTCTAGATTATTATATAATACAATGTAAATACTATGGAAAGCTGTTATACTGTAAGTTTACTCAATTATCACAAGAAAAAAAATCTGTACATGCTTAGTACAGAAGCAAGCATTGTACACGTAACTATTTACCATACAAATGAGTAGTGGTAAGTCAGTGCTGGGGAGAGACCAAGAAGCTGTGAAAGTAGGGGTGGCTACCTATCACTTCATTTGTGTGGATTCAGGTAGTGCCTAGTGGGTAATAAATTCAAATGTTGCTTCTTGGAACTTTCTTGATTTTTTTTTTTTTTTTTTTTGTATGAAGTATTGAACCTAAAGCTGTTGTACTGAGCAAAGTTTTTGAGACAGGGTCTTGATAAACTGAAAAATTGCTCAGACCGGCTCAAACTTGTGATGCTCTGGCCTCTGCCTCCCCAAGTAGTAGACTTACAGGTGTTCATCAGCATAACTGGCTACTTTCTGGAATTCATTCGTTCCAGGATAGTCTGGATCAGTGATCGGCTGAATCCAAGATGTGGAATCCAAAGAGAGAGTGGGCCAAACATAACAGAAAAACTTACCTCGACAAAACGAAGAAGCTTTTCAGTGGATGCCTCCAAAGTTTTTCGAGCAATTTCTGATTTCCGCAGTTGGCAGTCAAGTACTATGATTCTTTTTCTTAAATCCTGAACACTTTCCTAGAACGAGGTATCAAAGTAGCATCTCACACATATCTTTGATTTTACATTATCGTTTCCTATTTTCAGTTTTCACAAACTTCTATTGAGTACTACCACTTCTTTTATTTGCTCTCTTACTATACATCTCTTCTGGTTCTGTCTGTGGGACGCACTGCATAGTGAAAAGTTATTCTGTGTAGGATGCTGCAAGTTTTATGAGATATGCTGCACGTGACTGTTAGCAGATGATAACAGAAACTCTTACCAGTGTCACACAAGTAAAAACACTGGACACACACATATATACTATATATGATACAACATTATATATACATATACATAATATATTACAATATAAAACTGAGCTAGCAGGGAAGTGAAAGAATTCCTCGGAGGCACAGGGCAGCAATGTAGAGAGAACCCACAGGGGTGAGAGAATACTGAAGCATAATTTGCTGTGAGGGTGATGTGATGCTGATCCCTGGGGGCCTGCAGTTTCGGGTTTTATCAGGCACAAAGAACAAGCAGCAGAACTTTAAAGGGTGAACTTGGAGGAAACAGTCTTCATAGAAATAAGCAGCGATTTGTTTTTAATTCCAGTGAGTGAGAAAAATAAGAGTCTCTCCTGAATAATTCCTAACCACAAGGCTGTACTCATACAGGTTTGGGGCCTGATTTTATAATACCTCAGGGGGCCTGAAAATCCATGAGCTAAAAATTTAGTTTAAATTGGTCCTAGAATAGTAAAAACAAAAGAAAAACTCTTCTGGAGAGCTGTTTACTAAACTCAGATCTCAAAGAATTCGCAAATATAACATGTCAGTAGAACATGATCTCACAATAAAAAAAAAACACCACTAAACACGTGAAGAAATAAGCTCCATGAGTGAAAGTTAAAAGAAAACTAGATTGTGCCTTGCATGGTGGTACACAATGGAATCCCAGTGCTTCTGAGGCTGAGTCAGGAGAATCGCAAGATTGAGCCTGGTCAACTTAGCTACTTAGTGAAACTTTATGTCAAAAAAAAAAAAAAAAGGCTGGGATATATAGTTCATTGTGTAGGACCTGGGTTCAATTCCCCAGTACCATAAAAAGCCAAAACCAAAACTACCACCACAGCAGAAACAATACAGGATCAGAACTGTGAAGACAGCAGGTATTAGTGTGATCAGATATACAATATAGAGTAATTATGTTTAACATTGTTATGGCTTATATAACAAAGCCTCACATGCTCATAGCTGGAACATTTAAGGGGTGGCTGGATCATGAGTGTGTGATGCTGAATTACAGTGTGTGACACTGTGATTAAGGCTGTTTTGTAACTAAACTGGTTTAGCATAGTTCTAGGTATGGATAATGGAAGGCTCATCCTGGATGTGGGTGGTACAAATCAATAAGCCAGTAGCCTGGATGGAACAGAAAGGGAAAGATGGAAGGCAGACTGCTTGCTGCCTCCTACCTAGCCTGTAATGGACTGCTTTTCCTCTGCCATGCCATTTTGCCTTGGAGCCTGCTGACTATGACTGAAACATCAATAAATTGTGAGGTGAAATAAATCTTTCCTTCTTTAACTTGAGTATTGGGTATTGTGTCTTAGCAATAAGAAAAGATAGTATGTTTTAAAAATTAAGAAGGAATTACAATTATAGTAAAAGGACAAGAAAGCTATCTAAATGGACCCAGATGACATTAAAATAAAGGGGAAAAATAAAAATGTAGTCAAATTTAGAACCTTGATATATCGGCTTAGCATTCAATTAGATACAGCTGAAAAGAGAATGAGTAAACTGGAAGGCAAAGGTAAAGAAACTTCTTTAGATGAATAGAAAGACAAAAACTGAAATATAAATGGAGAAGTGGTCAGGAGAAAACAGCTACAAGATCTATTATATTTACAGTCTGAGTTACACAAGTGCCACTAGAAAGAATAAAACAGGATTAACAGCTTAGGTTTTTCTAGAAATGGCAAAAGACACTATTCCTCAGACCAGGATGCTCAAGGAATCCTTAATGGCATAAATTAAAATAAATCAGCACATGACTCATTGCGGTCAAAATGCTGAACATCAAAGCCAAAGAGATCCCAAAATCATATACAAGAAAAGAGATTGCAAACAAAGGACAAACTGACAGCTGACATTTCAGCCATGAAATAAAAACAATGAATGAATTTAAATGTTGACTTTAACATTTTCTATGTAGTTGAAATATATTTCAAGAATAAGAGTTGTATCAAGGGGCTGGGGATTTAGCTCAGAGGCAAAGCGCCTGCCTGGCAAGCACAAGGTCGTGAGTTCAGTTCCCGGTACCAGAGAAAAACCAAAAAAAAAAAAAAAAACACAGAGTTTAAAAAAAAAAAAAAGAGTTGTATCAAGACGTTTTACAGATAAATGGAGAATGTATCAACAGATCTTCATTATATGAATTTTTAAATGACATATATCAGAAAGAAAGGAATTGATCCTAGCAAAAAAGTCTGAGATGTAAGGAAGAATGCTGAACATAGAAAATGGTAAACATAAAGTCAATCTAAAAAAATTCTGCCTGAGCAACTTAGTGACTTAATGAGACCCTGTCTCAAAATAAAAATTAAATAAAATAAAAAAGGCGTGGAATATTAGCTTGGTGCAAAAGTCATGGGCTCAATCCGCAGGACCACCACCAAGCACAAAACAAAAAACAAAACAAAAGGCAATAATATAAAAAGACAAGAAAACTAAAATACTAACAAAAAATATAATTTGAAGAGGTGGGGATGATTACATACATATTCCAAAGCACTTAAAATGTTTAGAAGGGGGAAAGTCACTAATTAATTTTACAACTGGTTAAATGTTAAAATTTCTAGGATAATCATTAAAAAAATAGAAGTTCAAAACCAGAACAGAGAAATGTATATAATTACAGAGTAGGACTCAGGAGAAATCTGAATCCATTAAAAAAGCAATAAATAAAATAGTAACTAGGATACATGAAGCAAACAAAACATACAAAATACGAGGGTAGAAAGGAAGCTAGATGCTTTAATAAAAAAAGTATAAATGGAAAAATCTTTCTAAATACCAATCAAAACCTAATAAATTGTGGGAAAAGTTCAGATATGTGTTTACCATAAATATAATTAAAATATAAGGATACTGAAAAGTTCAAATAGATAAAAAATACATAGGATGAAAAAACACCAACCAAAGGAAAGTTGTGTGACTATTTGAAATTAGTCAAAAATAGACAGTAAAGAGAAAAGAAGATTGCTAAATAAGAGTCCTGACATTTTCATAAAAGGAAGACATAATTCCAAGCCTGAATGCATCTAAAAACATTACTTCAAAGTGCATAAAGAAAAAAATTCAAAAACAAACCACAAGGGAAATTTTTTGAACATAGTAACCAACGGCTCAAGCAGACAAAGAAATGAATATAAATAGAGCAGGAATAATCCCCTAATGTTCCTTCTAATGGAGTACACAGAACAAGAACATCCAACAACTGCAGAATTCTTTTCTAATTCAATTTGAGCTTCCATAGTCACTAATAGTAGGCCATGAAGCAAACATCAACAAATTTTGAGGAGTGGTTTTCTGTAAACTACATTTTCTGGCCACAGTGCAATTAATCTTTTTGTGCCACAATGGTGTTCACAAATAAAGATAGTCATAAATATGTAAGTTCTTGCCAAATTAACTGATATATTCAATGAAATTACAGTGAAAATTCCAATTTTTTTCGTTTGGTGGGCTTAATATCTGAGTCTAAAGTAGTAAAAGAAAAAAGGGTCATATAGTCAGCATATTTTTAAAGAAAAAGAAACAGGCAGTAGGACTAGATATCAAGATTCATTTTAAAAGATGTACTAAACAACACATTGTGTTTTTCACAGAGGAATGTATATGGACCATTGAAAGACTAGAGATCCACATACATATAAAACCTTGATATAGGATAGAGCTGGTTTGCTGATCAACTAGGAAAGAACAGGCTTTTCAATAAATGGTGATATGACGATTATTCATGTGGAATGAAGAAATAATGAAAAAAGCTATCCCCACTTTATACACTGCCACAAAATCAACTGCAGAAAGACTGAAACTTTAAAACTTTTGGAAGCAAAAATAAAAGAAATTCTTTACATCTCTGGAGAGAAGAAGAATTTCTAAAGAGACACACAAGGGAAAAAAATGAGTTTTGACTGTATGAAAATTAAGAACTCATCTATTTCAGCACAGAAAGAAAATGCAAGCCACACATTTGGAAGAGTAATTTTGTGATATATAACCTAAGAAGGGATTAGTAAGTAACTAGAATCACTGACACACTTGTATAAAAAAAATTAACCCAATGGAAAAATAGCCAAAAAGACACAAAAGGTCATTTCACAGAGAAACACAAATGCCTAAGAAATACACAAATATATGCTTAATTAAGTATTAGGGATTGGGGAGTAAAGCTCCAGTTTATAGCATTGAGGATATATTTCAATCAAGGCTGACTTCAAATTAATAAGCTGATGTCACTAAAAATGGAGATCATGCAATCACCCCCATCTCAAAGTCATTAGTAGCCAGGAAAATTCATATAACACTTACGACACCTATCAGTCTCATAAAAATGAAAAGTAAAATAAAACAAAGGGTTGGCAAAGTGTTGGGTAAATGGTACTTCTCATTCATTACTGACGGGAGTAGAAATTGGCTTAACCACTTTCAAACATAATTAGCCATTTCCTTGGAGTTGAAAACTTGAAAAAGTTGACCAATTATCCAACCTAGCAATTCTACTGGCAGGTAACCACTACACATGTGGAGCAGGAGACATGCACCAAAATGTCTTCAGCAGCAGGAAGTATAATAGAAGAGAACAGAAGTAACTAGAATGCCCACTGAATGCAGAATGAATAAATATAGTATATCTATGCAGTAGTGTACAAAGAAGGAGTTAAAAGACATGAGCTAGCTGCAAACTTCAAATAGATGAATTTAAAAACACAAAATATTGAGTAAAAAAAGGCAGAATGGCACATATAGTATATTTCTATTTATATAAATTTGACTAACAGACAAAAGTAAATACTATATGTTTTCAGGGATATATACATATATTTAAAATTTTTAAATTATCAAAAAAACGAAAACACTAAAACCAAAGAAGTGTTTACCTCCAGGGACAAGGAAGAAAATGTAACTGGTGAGGGACATTGTGGATCGTTAAGGGTATTTTGCAATATTTTATTTCTTAAGTTAGAGGTGAATTAAAAAAAACCCTCAAACAAATAAGGAAATAGATAAGAGAAAACTGTAATGAATAATAAAAGCATGATTATAAAAACAATCTGATCTTTTAATATTTTGGTAATTCCTAAAATGTTTTCATAATCAGGCTCAAGTTACACGAAACAGTCACACCTCATTTTTCAGAATGTGAATTCTGGATCAAAAAACAATGCACGCATGTGACAGTCATAAGTGTTAGTACTTTCTCAGTATGACTTGCCCTGCGCTTGTGCTATTGTCAAAGGGAGACCGGAACTTCAGCCTTCTTATGGAACTGGTTTAAGTAAACAGATGCAAGAAGTATGCTAGAGACTCTTTAGAGCTAAATAAAAAGAGTTTTAGATTATTTTCCTAAATTTTGCTTTTCTAAAACTGGTTTTATTCTCAGTTGGCATATTTGCAGAATTTAATTCTTTGATATGCTTAATCAAATATTCATAAATTATACAGATTCACTCTATGTTCTCTTGAAAGCTGACCGGTTTAGAGGTACACTCATGTTTATAGCTGAACAACTATGGGAAGTTACATCTATTTCAGTTTATTCATTTTCTCGTCGTACTTCACTGAATTAAGAATATATGTCGGGGCTGGGGATTTAGCTCAGCGGCAAAAGTGCCTGCCTGGCAAGCGCAAGGTCATGAGTTCGGTTCCTGGTACCAGAGAAAAACAAAAAAAACAAAAAAAAAACAAAAGAATATATGTCTACTATAGTTTTTGGATGCTATTCAATGAATATAGTATGTACAATGTAAAAAAAAATCACATAAAATTATCTGCATAAAGAAAAAATCACACTGCCTTCTTACAATCATTCAGTAGTTTGCTATTGAAATTAAGAATCTTCTACTAGAGCCTAATTTAGTGTACTCTATATTAAGAAAAAATTCAAATTTGGTTTCTTCCCATTAATTATTTCCAACCTTGGGCAAAGATTATTCCTCGAGTGCTCTAATCAAAGAATAAAACACATCCCTTCTTCCTGCAGTGAGCAAGTTCAGAAATGAAAAAGAAAACTGATGCAATCAATTCAATGTTAAATAGTTACAGGATTTAGTGCCTGAACTGGACTACACTGACCAACGACCCAAATAAATTTGGGGCGCCCTGTTCTTCGCTCCTGCAGCTCTCTGGATAAAGGCAGGCTCACAACCTTCACATCGCCTCCTCAGGACACATCATCCTATCAGTGAATAGAAGACAAACACTGACCTAGTTTAGAAGTGCAGATGAAAAGAAAATGAAAACAGAAGACATGACAACGGCGAGGAAACCATGGTAACGAGAAGAGAAGACTGTTTTGCTTACTTTATTTTGGTCAGAATAATCAGCAAGCTGAGCCTTCAGCTCTGTAATCTCGGCCTCTAGCAGACGGATCACTTCTTCGTAGTCCATTTCCATTCCGTGCGCCTGCCTCTGAGCAGCTTCGGCAAGATGAATCCGAGTTCGCAGAGCTCTCGTTTCTTCAACTACAGCTTTGGATTCCTAAGCAGATCAAAATTAATATTGTTGAAAGGAAAACACACAAAAAAATAGTTCAGGGGTCCTCACACAATGTTACAGTTGCAAAATAGCATGCACATGCTCCTTCCTCCACTTGGAAATGAATCTTCATGTTACTTTAACATGCGGACTAGCGGCCTGATCTGGCTTTGTTCTTTGCTAATTTCTTGGAAATACTTCATTGTGGCATTTCTCACTTCACACACCTAACATCTGCAAAAACAAGCTAAGTTGTAGGGATTTAGAAACAGAAAACAGAACTGGTTCAAAGAAGAGAACAGGCTACATCAAAACTCAAGTAGGTAGCAACCATATATTTCAGGGAGGCTTCTGAAGTTTCACCAGTTGCTTCCAAGCACTGCACAATGTTGTGGGCTGCTTTGCGGACCAACCCAGGAGCCAGAGCTTATTCCTGGACATGTCTGTTAATTCTTGCTTTGGGTTTAAGCCAAAAAAAGTGGAAGGTAGCAGGAAAATATACAGCCAAATCTGTAGGAACCACGGTGTATGAGACAATTATGAAATACATATTCTGTCTGAAGTGCTTCATCTATGTTATTTGAGAAACATTAAGGGAAAGGCATTATGAAAAACTCATACGTAACCAGAGACTTAGAGAAGTTATATAACCTACTCAAGGAGCCATGTCCATAGTGGTGCTTGAATTTGAACGCAGCTCTGCTTGACTCACATTAATGTTCTTCTTTCATTATTTTATCCTGCCTTTAAAAGACAAAATAGGGGCTGGGGATTTAGCTCAGCGGCACAGTGCCTGCCTGGCAAGCGCAAGGTCGAGAGTTTGATTCCGGGTACCGGTAAAAAGCCAAAAAGAGAAAGAAAAAATAAAAATATCCTGCATACTAGCTCTATTTTCCACGTCAGCAAAAGGTTAGGGTGGGCCAAACCCCTTGCTCTCTCAAAATGTAACTTGCTTGCTGGATGTGGTGATGCACACCTGTAATCCCAGCACTCAGGAGTCTGAGGGAGGAGGATTGCTGTAAGTCTGAGGCCAGCATGGGCTACACAGTGAGCTCAAGGCCAGCCTGAACTGCAAAGCAAGATCCTGTCTCAAAAAAAAAAAAATCAGAATGAAACTTGCTGCTGAGTCAAAGACAGTCTCTTAGGACACCAGTATAATTTAATATGGCAGTTATACTGTATTCTATTTTTTGTCTTTATTTGATGCAGAAATATCTCCACTCTGCAATGGAATTTTCTGCTCCAATTGCCACAGCTAATATTAAACTAGGGCTATTTTAATTTTCCTGGAGATGTTATGGGGCACTTGCATTTATTTGAGCCTAAATATATTGGATGTATCAAGAAGGTTAGGCAAATGGACATGTTCTTTATTGTTTTAGGTTTGATATTTCTACATAATTTTTTTAAGTTTTATTTAAAAAATGAAACAAAATTTCATAACAAAATAAGGGAATAACAATAGTTAACACACTGTGTATTGTTATCTGCAAAACAGTTACTCAGAGTTCAAGAGTAAGACATGGACAATAAACATTCTCTCTCTCTTTTTTTTTGTGGTACCGGAAATTGAACTCATGACCTCGTGCTTTCCAGGAAAGCGCTATGTTGCTGAGCTATGTCCCCAGCCCCAACATTCTCTCTTACAAAGAAGAAACTGATATTAGCAGAAAACTTTTTTCTCAATGAACTAAGAGAAAGTGGGAGTATTAGTGAAACAAATTAGCATGTATTTAATTTTTTTTAAAAATGGAGATTCGAACTTTTTCCTATTTCCTATTTATGTCTTCCATTTTGTTCTTTGTTCATAAATATATAGGGTTCCTGATATAAGATAAATTATGCAATGCTTACACTTGGGTGTCTGATTTATTTCAGTTAACATTACGTTCTCAAGTTGTATACATTTATCTACAAATGCCTCAAGTTTATCTTTCTTTATGGCAGAATAGTACTCTATTGTGTATAAATAGCAAATTTTCCTTATCTATTCACCTATTATGGACATATACACTTTTTCCAAGATCTAGGTATTAGAAACTGTGCTGCTATAAACACAGGTTTGCCTGTATCCCTTTAATATGATAAATTTTATTCTTTTGGGAAGATACTTAAATGTGGGACAGCTGAGCCAAATGAAATTCTACTTTTAGGTTTTTGAAGAATCTCCACACTGATATCCAAGGTGGTTGTACTACTTTACATTCCTACTAACAATGCAGAAGGGTGTTTTCCCCCACATCCTCACCACCAGCATTTGTTATTATCAGAATTTTTTGATGATAGCCATATTTTCTGGTGTAAGATGACATATAGCATAATTTGCATTTCTCTAAGGGCCAGCAATGTTGAACATTTTTTCATATATTTATTAACCATTTTCATTTCTTCTTCTGAGGAGCATCTAGGGTTATCCATTTTGTTGATTGGGTCTTTTACATGGTGGAATGTTTTTCTTTTTTTTGAGATTTTTATACATTTTAGATGATAGTTCTCTGAGGAGTAGGTGGCAAAAAATTTTTCTCATTCTGTAGGTCATCTCTTCACTCTTTTGGTTGTTTCCTTTGCTGTGAAGAAGCTTTTGAATTTGGTAAGATCCTATTTATTGATTCTTGGTATTATTTCTTGACCACTGGGGCTCTGTTCAAAAAAGTCTTTGTTTCTGCCTTTGTCTTCAAGAGTTGAACTGATTTTATCTTCCAGCAGATTCAGTATTTTCTGTTTTAATATTTAAATCTTTGATCCATTTTGATATTAGTGCAATACATGGTGAATTATATATAGGTCTAGACTCAATCTTCCAGATGTGAATATCCAAATTTTGCAGCACCATTTATTAAAGAGACTATCTTTTCCAGCAGTGTATATTTCGGCCCTTTTGTCAATGATCAAACAGATGTATGTGTCTGTGGTTGGTTCTGCTTCCTCTGTTTTGTTCCACTGATCCACATCCCTCTTTTTTAGGCCAGTACTAGGCTATTTAAATCACCATGGCTTTATGGCATAACTTCCAAGCCTGGGATTGTGATGTCATGGGCTTTGCTATTATTTTCCAGGATTACTTTTGGTATTCTGAGTTTATTCTTTTTCCATATGAGTTTTAGGACTGTTTTCTCTACCTGTGAGAAATGCTATTGGCAATTACATTAAATCTATGTATCAAGGAAGTACAGCCATTTTGTTTATATTGGTTCTACGTAACGAGGCCCAGAAGATAGCTTTTTATTTTCTGATTTCATTCTCAATTTTCTTTTTCAGAGTGATATAATTATCACTGTAGGAGCCTTTCACTTCCTTGGTTAGGTGAATCCCTAAGCACAGTAAAATTTGGATTGTGAATAACTTATTCTGCAAGTGTTCCACAAAACTAAAAAACATTTCTAATACACTTTAACTTGATAAAAGACTGATGTCTTGTAATACAATTACTATGTGATGCCAAGTACCACATGTTCACAACCGAGTCAACGGTTCTTCTCTCTTACTGCAGGACTGTGGGTGATTGTCTCCCAACAGCAAGAGGTTATAGAGGAGTTCTTGTCTGCAGAGGAGACAAAGGTGGAGCAGTTGCTTACTTCAAATGAGATTAGGGAAATGTGGGGAACAAAATCTGCGAAACAGCACAAAATTGGGAAGAAAAGTATCACCCAAATAAGGCTGTAGCAGGGTGAATGATGAATGATGAATTTAATGACAATATGATATCACATTTCCATAAAATCTTCAAAAAGAGGCAAAGCATCATTGAAGAGATTCCTTGTCACATTTGAAAAAACAAAAAACAAGAAAAAAGAAAGAAAAAACAAGATTCCATTGAGCCAAGAGACAGCAGTGACTCCATTAGTGATAGTGACAATCGTTCTGCACAATAACCCTCCTCTCTCGTCTCCCTCACACCAGCCACGCAGGTTTACAAAGGTTAGTGGGGGTTAATTTATTACTCTACTTTGTATTTTCTTTATTACTTTGCATCATCTTACAGTATTGTAATTTTATATGAATATTCTGGGTTGTGGAACAAATCATCTGAGTTTCCATAATTTCTTATGGAGAAATTTGCTTTCATATACAGTACACGTGTTTTAAATTATAAGCATGTTTCCAAAACAAATTATACTTGTCAACCAAGGTTTTACCATATTTTCTTTGATGGTACAATGAATGGTATTGTTTTTCTAATTTCTTATTTAGTAAATTAATTAACAGTGCATAGGAATGTGATTGATTTCTGTGTTTATTTTATACTCTGCTATGTGACTGAATTTGGTTATTAATTCTTGGAGCACTTTGGTGAAGTTTTTTGGGTCTTGTAAATAAATGATCGTGTCATTTGCAAATAATGATACTCTGACTTTGACCTTTTCTAAATACATCTTTTATATCTTTCTCTTGATTTCTTTGGCTTAGGTTTGGAGGACTACGTTGAACAGAAGTGGTGATAATGGACATCTTTATCTTGGTCCTGATTTTAGGAGGAAAGCTGTTGGTTTATCCTCATTTAATATGATGTTGGCAACAGGCTAGCCATAAATGGCTTCTATCAGATTGAGATAAAGTCCTTCTATACCTATGTTATTCAGTTTTTCTTTTATCATGAATAATGGATGCTGGAGTTTGTCAAAGATTTTTTTCTGTACCTATTGAGATGATGTGATTTTTGTTACTGTTGTATGTGATGAATAATAACATCTGTTGATTTGCACATCTTAAACCATCTTTGAATCCTTGGGGTGAAGCATACTTTGTCATGGAGTATGACCTTTTTGATGATTTGCTGCATTCTGTTTGCCAGTATCATGTTGAGGATTTTTTTGTTTATCAAAGAGAGATTGGCTTGCAGTTCTCTTTTTTAGTTGGACCTTCACCTGGTTTAGGGATTGGGGTAATGTTAGCTTCTAAGAATGATTTTGAAAGTACTCTTTTCCTATTGAGTTCATTAAAGAATTTGAGGAATATCAGCAAGAGATTTTTCCTGAAGTTCCTATAGACTTTAGCTGTGAATC